TTGATAACATTCTGATTAACTTTGTTTACTAATGCTTAACTTTGATGGACATGTTTTATTATATTTTCTTTATCAGACAAGGATATTGTAACCTAATTTCTTTTTATGGGTGTAAAAAATGGAAAGTTATTGTCTTTGGGAGTTTCATACAAAACAGAAATTTAAAAGCAATATTGTTGGAATTTATTAAAGGTCAGAATTGAGCCATTTCTGACACACAGTCTAGAAAGTGGTGAAGCTGGCAATGGTGTGATGAGGAATGGTGAAATTCAGGTAAGCATTTGCCATTTTACTTCTTCCTTCATATTTGAATGTATCAGGTAAATTCTTGCTACTTGTTAAGTAGAGTAAGTGCATAGATTCTTATATACACCAGACCTATGAACAATTTTACCCATAAATGATTTTGCCTCAGTGTATAGACACACTCATCGTCTGAACAAATGCATCCACTCTGTCATGGAACAGAAGTCCATTTACCAAATGTCATTGCTCATAAAGTATAAAGCCAGAGGGATTCACTTTAATTTCTATGGATAGTTATTAAAAGTAAATTTTAATGTTGTAAACTTGGAATTCTAGAATAAACCTCACACAGACCTCTTGTGACATGTAACTTTGAAGTCTTGTCACCACAGCTACCTAATTTGTATGAAGCACCTAGAGTCAGTGCCTCTTTGTAGTGTTATTTGTCAAATGATTCAAATGCTACTTTAAAATATATGTGAGGTTACTAATAAATCTCAATGGCCTTAAATTGCATGCTGTGTTATGTGCAATTTTCCCCTTTAACTGTGTGAAATTCTAAATTATATTTGCCTTTGATATCTTAATTTTTATTTATTTTAGAACCAGGACAGTGATAAATAAAACTACTATAAAGTTAATATGTGAAATCCTGGTTAAAAAAAAGAGTAAGGCCTCAGCAGGAATTTGAGTGTGTGTGTATGTACCTGTATGAGTATTTGCATCCCTGTGTGTGTATCTATGTGCTTGTGTTGGTGTGCATAGGTGCATATATGGACTTTTCTGAGACAAAATAAAATGTGACTGCATGTGGAAGGAGGGTCTAATCAAACTAAAATTCTTCATAATTAACATTTTTATTAACAATGTGGAACCTTTTGCATATCAACATCCAGTAAAAAAAAAACAATAATAAAATTTGCTATAAGCATGCTCAAAGTTTTGGGGCGTTTCTTAAAATCTAAGTGTTTCACTTCAAACTCCTTAGAAAAACCTTTTAAATTCTACAATTATGACCTCAAATTATGTTACTTTATTATTTAGGATCTTCTGAAAGCATATGGTTCAGCCCACTTTGTAAGAGTGATGAATGGTGAGTATCTGACATAATTGGAAAATGTAGAATAGATCATTCAAGGGGAAAAGAGGACTATGAAGAACAAACACAAGGACACACACACACACACACACACACATATGTATATATCTCCAACAGCTCATGTCAGTTTGTTGAACCATGGTGAACTGAGTGTTGCTGTGCTGCTGGAAAAGATTGAACAAGTGATTCAAATATTAGCAGGGTCATCTGTGGTTGATAGATTTCAGCAGAGCTTCCATACTAAGAAAGAATGGGAAAAAGGAAGAGGTGGCCCATATTTGGACAAATTAGCCACTGAAAACCTTACAAATAACAGTGAAACTTTGTCTGATAAAGTACCTGAAGATAAGCCCCTCAGGTTGTAAGAGACTCAAAATATGACTGGAGAAGAGTTGCCTCCTCAAAGTAGAGTTGACCTTAATGATGTGGATGGAATAAAGCTTTTGAGACCTTCCTTCACTGATGTGTTACGATTCAAAATGAGAAGAAGCAACTGCAAGCATCCGTTAATAATCACAATGTGGAATGCACAGAGTATTAATCTAGGAAAATTGGAAGACATCAAAAATGAAAAAGAATGCATAAAGATCAATATCCTAAGCATTAGGATCTGAAATGGACTGGTATTGGCCATTTTGAATCAGAGAAGTGTATGTCTTCTATGCCATGATTGAAAAATTGAAGAGGAATGGGGTCACATTCATCATCAAAAATAACATTTCAAAAGTCTCTCCTGAAGTACAATGCTGTCAGTGATAAGATAATATCCATGCATTTATAAGGAAGACCAGTTAATACTATTATTCAAATTTACACACCAAACCACTAAAGCCAAAAATGAAAAAATTGTAGATTTTTAACAACATCTGCAGTCAGAAATTGATCAAATATATAATAAAGATATATTGATAATTACTGGTGATTGGAATGTGAGAGTTGGAAACAAAGTGCCAGTAGATGGAAAATATAGCATTGGTGATAAAAATAATGCCAGATATCACATGACAGAATTTTACAAGACCAATTAATTATTAATTGCAAATATTTTCTTCAACAACATAAATGGAGAATATACATGTGGACCTCGCCAGATGGAATACACAGTAATCAAACTGAATACATGTATGGAAAGGGACAATGGTGAAGTTCAATATCATCAATCAGAACAAGGCCAGAGGCCAAATGTGGAACAGATGGTCAATTGCTCATATGCAAGTGTAAGCTGAAGCTGAAGAAAATTAAAACAAGTCCATGAGTGATAAAACACAACCGCAAGTATATCCCACCTGAATTTATAGGTCATTTGAAGAACAGATTTGATGCACTGAACACCAATAACCAAAGACCAGACAAGTTATCAGATTATATCAAGAACTTCATACATGAAGAAAAAACAAGCGGTCATTAAAGGCAGGAAAGAAACAAAAGACCAAAACGGATGTCAGAAGAGACTGAAAATTGCTCTTGAATGGACAGCAGCTAAAGGCAATAGAAGAAATGATGATGCAAAAGAGCTGAACAGAAGATTTCAAAGGAGGCTCAAGAAAACAAAATGAAGTATTGTAAGGAAATGTTCAAAAACCTATAGTTGTAAAATCATAAGCAAAGAACATACTCAGCATTTCTCAAGGTGAATGAACTGAACAAAGCATTCAAGTCTTGATTTGCAGTACTGAAGGATTTTATGGGCAAAATGATTGAATAATACAGGAAACATCAAAGAAGATTTAAGGAATTCAGAGTTAATGTACCAAAAAGAGTTAGGTGACATTCAACCATTTAAGGAAGTAGCATATAGTCAAGAATGAATGATACTGAAGAAAGAAGTCCAAACAGTACTGAAGGTATTGCAGAAAAACAAGGCTCCGCGTACTAATGGAATCCCCACTGAGATATTTCAACAAATGATGCGATGATGAAAGTGCTGACTCATTTAAGCCAAGAAATTTGGAAAAACAGCTACCTGGCCAACTGCCTGAAAGAGATCCACTTTTGTACCTATTCCAAAGAAAAGCAAAGCAATAGAATGCAAAAATTATTGAACAATATCATCAACATCACACACTGCAAAATGGTTGCAGCAGAATATTGACAGGGAACTGCCAGAATTTCAAGGTGAATTCAAAAGAGGCATGGAACAATGGATATCATTGCTGACATCATCTGGATCATGGCTGAAAGCAGAGATTACCAGAAAGATGCTTACCTGTGTTTTATTGATTATGTAAAGGCATTCAACTTTGGAGTTCATAATAAATTACGGATAACATTATGAAAAATGAGAATTCTAGAAATTAAACGATGTATTAAATTGGGCAGACCTGTTGCAAAAGACTTCCTAAAAATGATAAAGAGCAAAGATGTCACATTGAAGAATAAGGTGTTCCTGACCTAACCTAGTGTCTGTCTTTTCAGTAGCCTCATAGACATGTGAAAGCTGGACGATGAATGTGGAAGACCACAGGAAAATTGTTGCATTTCAATTGTAGTGCTGGCAAAGAATACTGAAATTATCATAGATCATCAAAAGAAAGAACAAATCTGTCTTGGGAGAAGTGAAGCCAGAATGAAATGGCCAGACTTCATGTCTTGTACTTTGGTCATGCTATCAGGAGGGACCAGTCCCTGGAAAATATATCATGCTTGGAAAAATAGAAGGTCAGTAAAGATATGCAATGAGATGGACTGACACAGTAGACACAAGGATGGATTTAAGCATAGTAGGGATTGTGAGGATGACATAGGACCTCATAGTATTTTGTTTTGTTGTAAATGGGATCTCTATGAGTAAAAAGAAAACTCGAAGGCAACTAACAACAAACATGTATTCGTGTGAGACACAGAGAAAATGAAATTGAAAAAGAGCAAGAGTGAGTGAAATGTGTTTAACCATTTATACACACAAGCACAGGTAGATACAGAAAGATAGAATAAATTAGCATATTGCACTAAAATCAAGTCATTCAAAAGTGATTGTGCTTAAAATAATCTTCATCCCATTCTTCCTATTCTATTTTTTAAAACTTTTGTTAATTTTAATGACTGATATATTAGACTAATAACTTGAATGACATCAAAATAATATGTTTATAGCATTATTTCTTGATTTATAAATGGTTGAGTTTAATTATTAATGCTACACTATGAGAATTTAGCTTACTGGCAGTATAACCTTTCTTGCCCATTTTTTTTCTAAAGTTGATATTTACATTTTAGGTCCTTGTTTACTTGTCTTTTGCCTTTAAATAATGGGGTTCAAGTTTAAATGATACATTTCACATTGCAAAAAATAACTTTGCAGCTTATTTTTCCATCACCTTTTATCAGTTGTACATAATCCTTCATCAAATTTACTGAGTATCTGCACTTTACCTTTCATCCATCACCCATTCCCATTCCACTGCACCCACTTCTTCTTGAAAGAAAACAAATTTTATTTAATATCACTGAGGCTTCTAATGTTTCCAGTCTCTCCCGAAACCACAAGTAGTGGTTTCCGTTTGCAACAATTTGAAAATCAAACGATATGATGTCACAATATTATGTGCGACTTAATTTTAAGCATGGGAATCATACATGTTATGAAGTAGTTTCTTGCACAGTTGCATATTCTTTTGAGATGGAAGCAGTACTCTGAGACCTCTTTCTACAGTACCTGTAACCTTCAGCTTTTCAGCCCCAATGGTGATCTCATCTTCATCTGCAGAAAATAGCACTCTGCCATCTTCACTCCCTCTCACTTCAAACCTCTTACACTGAGCTTCCACAGCGTCAGCTCCTATGATCAGAGGAAAAATTTGAAAGTGAAACTGGTACACTGAAACACTGTAATGAATAGATTTTCAGAAGAAGAAGAGAAGCAGATACATTATTTACTATGCTGATCTCTGCAATATGTTTTGCATCCAAATTAGTATTTTTAAAACTAGGTTACTCTCTTCAAGAGGTTGTCTGACTTGGTAGAAGATTGCTGGACTGGGTTTTTTGGGCACATGTCTGACCTCTAAACTCTGGGCTTGATCTTAATAAGGACTGTGGTTTTAGCTAGTTAACAACTGTTTGTTCTCTTTTGCAGCCCACAGACTTGGCATCATGCCTGACACCTACTGGATGCTTGATAAACATTTGTGGGCTGAATGACTGTCATATTTCTCTCTGAAATGCAGATAATAGAACCCCTACGTGTAACATCATAGGGCACTTTTAAAGCACAATTCAGTTGGAAATCTTTTGTTACTTTCATAGATTCTAATGTTGATATTTTTTCACCTTTTATTAGCTCTGAAACAGAATGCATTTCACAGTAAATCTTGCATTTATATTTATATATGCATATACTCATATATATGTATGTATATATAAGAAGCTCTGGTGGCATACTGCTTATGGTATCTGACTGCCAACCAGAAGGTTGGTGGTTCAAACCCACCAGCCACTCTAAGGAAGGAAGACTGGACAATCTAATTCCGTGAAGATTTACCACTTCAGAAACCCAAAGGAATCATTAGGAGTTGGAGTAGAGTCGATGGCAGTGTGTTTGGTTTGGGTTTGATATGTATATATACATATTTTTAGTGTTCTCTAATGTATCTTCCAATCAGGGAATTTCTTAGGTTATTGAAATATAGTCTTAAATAAATACAATTATATATCAATTTCTAATTCATTGGTCCTTTATTGTTCATTATTCCATCTACAAATCACAAAGCCAATTTTCAAATATGGAAAACATAGGAACTTTGAGAGTCAGGAGGGCCTCAACAAAAAGATCTAATGGTGCTTTGAAGATATATATTGAATGAAAAAGAAAAACATTAGGAAGGTAGATGCAGGTAAACAATTGATATTTCCATAATACCAATTTATTTATTTTAGTGTAATATTTGAGCTCAAGTATAGCAGGGATTGTGGGGCTGGCACGGGATAGGGCAGCGTTTCGTTCTGCTGTGCATGGGGTCGCTATGAGTCAGAAACGACTCAATGGCACTTAACAACAACAACAGTGTAATATTTAGCATAAGAATCTACTATCTACCCCTCTTGTTAAGATTTGGTATACTCCTCCTCTACTAACTACATCAAGTGTCTTTGTCATGTACAACCCAATCTAATTAGGGACCAAAGCATATCCTTCTCTGTGCAGATTTCTTTTTATTTATCTTTATATATGATCATTATTTGATAGATGGATGACTTCCAGTAATTCAAAACTTGAGACCACCTTTGTATTCCAAAATATCCCCTAAATTTAGAATAGTGTCTGGTTATAATAGGCACTTGGTAGATGGATGTGAAATAGGTGGTTGGATATATAAGTTAAGCTTTCTTCCCCTTTCTTTGGTCCCAGTCCTACCTCAGACTTCCTCCCAATCTTAGCCCAAGTGCTTTGTGAATCCATGCCTCCCCATCAACATAGAATCTGAGGAACAACAAGCAAGAGGGAAAAACATATAATCCCAAACTCATATGTTGTACAGAATAGTTGCTCTGAAAAGGAACAGTATATATGCTTATAATCTGAAATTAAAGTACACGGTTTTATCCCACCTAAAATTTTTTTTAAAATCTCTGACTAGGTCTATGCTAAGAAAGATAAATTGATGCTAATCTTCTGGGCTGCCACAGTGTGAATTGTATTTAACACTTATGTTTGTTGCTTGTTTGTTTTAAACCAATATATCTCTTTCTGGAATTTAATGCCATTGCTGGGGAGACTATGAATCAGAATTGACTTAAAGGAACACAAGAACAACAGCAGAAACCATAGAAGACCTATTGTCCTTTTTCACAGTCATTACATTTAATCTCACAAACGTTACTTCAACAGCCTGTTTTATTTTTTTTTTCCTAATCATTTTCTAAACTTCTTGTATCATGATTTCTAAACTTTGAACCGTAGTAACTCAACAAGGTGATGTGCAAAAAGCCATGTCATAATGTTGATAAATGTGTCTTCTTCTGGGTTTTCAGACATCTTTTTAAAAAATCTATCTCCAAGGTACATGGATATAAATTAAACCTGAACTTCTACAAAGGCATTATACACAGGAAACCTTAACATGTACTACATTGTTTCCTTCAACTTATTCAGTGGTCGTTGTTGTTGTTATATGCTGTCTAGTTGGACCCAACTCATAGCGACCCCTCTTTGGCCTTCCGAGGCAGTATCACTACAGAAGTAGGTTGCCCAACTTCCTTCCAAGAAGTGGCTGGTGGATTTGAACCGCCAGCCTTTTGGTTAGCAGTCAAGTGCCTTAGGCACTATGCTACCAGAGCTCCTAAATGAATTAATTCACAAAATATGGCTGCTGATTTAATGGCATTGAAGTGTATAAGATCATAATAATATAGATATATATACACATACATACACACATTGGCAGAATTTTCTTAGCATAATAGTTATGTCATTAAGTAGAAAATATTTTATTACCATTAAAATGTCACAGTAATGGGTTTGTAACCTGTCAGAAATATAGGCAGAATAGCAGAACATGATGAAGTGAGTAAAATTTTAACTCACTAAATATAAGTTAGCAAGGACACATAAGCAAATAAGTAAATGCCCATGCACCCAGGAATAGAGGAGATGAAATCAGGCCTGCAGAAGCATCCAAATGAAAAATGTATATAGAAGTTAATGGAATAGATCATACTTTACTGAATAAATTAGTGTAATTATAGATTGTAAAATTGCAAGCAATTTGCAATGTATGACTAGTAAATAAATATTTTAAATCAGAAAACAATTTTGAATGTATTATATTTTAGTACATTGTTTTTCTTTTCTGCAAAGGAAAAGCAGTGAATGTATGCAATCAAACATTGTTATGGATTGAATTGTGTACCCCCAAAATATGTGCTGTTGGAGAAGAAGAGGGGAGAGTAGATAGGTCAAACCACGTGGAGATCACCCAGGAGCAGAAGCTCAAAAGAGACAAGGACCTTCCTCCAGAGCCAGAAGAGAGAGAGAGACCCCCTTCTCCAAGAGCCTGTGCCCTGAAGTCAGACAGACTTCAAGCCTTCTAAGCAGTGAGAAAATGAATTTTTCTTTGTTAGAGCCATCCACTAGTGGTATTTCTGTTACAGCACCACTAAATAACTAAGGCAGACATATATTCAATGTTGGAGTAATTTATTTATGTTTAAAGTTAATGTATTAGACTTTATGAAACTGAATCCATTCTGTCCTAATACTTTGTCTTGTCTCATTCTGTTTTTCATATTCTAATCATTGCATATTCTCTAGGCTAAGTCAACTCAGGATCCAGTTGCTCAGAGGAGTAATATACCCAGATCAATCTTATCTCAATCTCTGATGATGCCGGTGAGCAGGAAAGCAATATGGCTGGATGACTCTGGGCAAGGAGCTCTGATTCCTTAGCAAATAGATCAGGGGAGATGGGCTTATCCAGACAGTAGTATATTTTATTAGTCATCACAAACACCAACTTACTAATTAAAGGATTAAGACTAAATGGTTCCTTAGGAAGTTTATGTCAGCAATTTCAAAACCAAATAAAGAGAAATCAGAGATAGAACATCTAAAAAGAACTTGGAGAAAAAGGAGACAAAAGATGTAAGCAAAATAGTAAGTTCCTTAACACAATTAAATTGTTCCTCCAATATCCAGTATTTTTTTCAAATTTTTAAGACTTGCCATCTTAGCATAGTGCCTAAGGCACTTGACTGCTAACCAGAAGCCTGGTGGTTCAAACCCACCAGCCACTCCTCAGAAGGAAGATGGGGCAATCTACTTCCATAGTAATACTGCATCCAAAACCCAAGGAGGGGTTGCTATGAGTTGAGTTCGACTCACTCATAACAACATCTATTCTTCAAAGGAGCTCTGGTGGCATAGTGCCTAAGGCATTTGACTGCTAATCAGAAGGCAGGTGGTTCAAACCCACCAGTAACTCCTCGGAAAGAAGGTTTGGCAATCTATTTCTGTAATGATACCACCTCAGAAACCCAAAGAGCAGTCGCTATGAGTATGATCCGACTGATGGCAAACACAACAACAACAACAACATCTATTCTTCAAAGCTGTAAACAATAACAACAAAAAATTTGCTGTTTCCTTCAAAGTCCCTTCATTGAATCTTTTAAAACATCTGCATTCTTTGCAGACTATCATTTTCAATAGCCAAGGGCACCTTTTCCTCACAAGTACAGAGACTATATTACTCAAATTCTGTCTTTGATTTTTTTTGCATTATAACAATCAAATGCTTAAACTGGAAAACATTCTTAAATAAAATTCTCTAAAGTGCTGAAACAATATATTTCTATGGGTTCTTCGGGTACAATTTAGTACTGATTTAAAGAAAGCAAGGCTAAGGTCAGAATGGATATGTCTGCTTATTTCTGATGTGTGCTCTGAATCATACCATAATGGGTCCTTTCTGCCTATATAATTTTAAAGTTTAATTTTATACGTCTATAGCTATTTTCAAGGTTTTGTAGAAGAATATTTTTAAAAAGTTAGAAATTCCCCCAAGAAAGACAGATATAAGATTCAATGCAGTCAACTAAGTTCCGTGTTTAGAAACTCCTGGATGAGAATTGCCTTGGGCTGGGGTGGGGGGAGGGGTAAATGTGAAACAAAATAAGCTACTTTCAGGACATATAAATCAACATAATTTGACTTTACTTTATTTCACACTATGGGTGTCATTATGAGCTTACACCTATAAAGTATCTTCTGAATATAGTGAAATGAGAAGAAAGCATTGAGAAAAAGGAATCCCAGGGGCCACAGCTTTTTCCTTGAAAGAA